GGCCAGCTGCTCCGGAGCCCGGGAGCTCAGGGAAGAGCAGGGGGCCCACACTGTGACCAGACCACGATGCCACAGCCAAGCTGCCTCTCTCCGGAAGGGTCCCTGAGTGCCTGGGGGTGGAGGGCAGCTGTGGCAGTAAAGCCTTGCTACCTCCCGGTGGAGGGGGATATGTGGGTGTGGGGGGCAGACAAAGGAAGGGTCGCTGGGGTAGAGGTCTTAACCCAGTCTCCCAGGTGGCTCCATGGTCAGCGAACGCAGCAAACTACATGCAAATGTTTCATGTGCATTTTTCAGGGGGGATGTGGCCTCAGCTGCCTTTGGCTCCTTGAAGGTTGGGGACGGCCCTCCCGTCCTATGACAGATGCTGTCAGTGTCCCCCATTGCCTCCCTCCTCAGTTCCGGGGACCCTGTCCCAGCACCTGCACCTGCCCAAGGTTTCTCTTCCTCCAGAGCCTGCTGACCAAAGTGCAGGGAATATGTCCCCAGGAGCAGCCCTCAGCAATGACAGTGGGGGAAGGGGGTGTAAATGCCCAGCTCCCCTGCTCCTGGGCTCAGCTCGCTCTGGGGTGCAGCCCCACCCCACTCTCCAGTGCTCCCCAGTGGGTTCCGCTCATCACCATGCTGGTTACGGTGGTCACCGGCTCACCCTCACACTCTCACTGGCTTCCTGCCTTCCCTGCCTCCCAGATAAACTATGTCCACTCAGACTCTCGCCTCCGAGTCTCCCCCTGTGGGCCCCAGACTAAAAACCCCAGGAGACGGGGTTTGCGCGTGGAGAGCGAGGAGAGACTTGTTTTGATTCTGCACCACCTTGCCCGTGACCTTAGGCCAGTGACAGCTCCTTCCCGAGCCTCAGTTTCCCCATCCACAAGGAACGGAACGCCAAGGGCATCTCTATTGCTCCCTTTAAGTGCCCAAAAGGGTGAGTGACGCCAAAGAGTTCAGAGTACCTCCTGTGAGCTGCGTGTTCTGGGACAGCTGATTTTACGTGTCCGCTTGGCCAGGCCAGGGCACTCGGATATGTGGTCAAACAGCAGCCTGAACGTTGCGGGGAAGGTGCTTCTGAGATGAGACTCACATTTAACTCGGTGGACGCCAGCGTGGGGGTGGGCCTCGTCCAACCAGTTGAAGGGCTAAGAGCAACGACTGGACGTCCTCCAAGGCCGAGGGGGTTCTTCCACAGGTGGCCTTCAGGCTTGGGCTGCAACATCAGCTCTTCCGGGGTCTCTAGCCTGCCTGCCCTCCACCCCCAGCCTCCACATCCTGTGAGCCAATTCCTTGAAATCTCCCTCTCAGGGTCTATACGTTGGAACACAGACGTATACATTCTTAGAGAGAGAGTTGACTCCTATGGCTTCTGTTTCTTTGATCTTCGTGTTGTGTTCCTTGAAGACGATGACACGTCTGTCTTCTGTGTCCCTAATACCTGGCACCATGCCTGGCACAGAGGGGCGCCCAGCAGATATCTGTCGAATGAGTCTGAATCAGAAGCCTGGGGAGTCTGGGGTCTTTTATTCCCCCCTCCCCAATCGGCTGGTAAAGCCTTGTGGTTAAGGCTTTGCAATCAGCTCGATCTGGGTTCAAACCTTGACTTCTTTCACTACCAGCTGTGTGGTCTTATTCTAGTCATTCACCCTCTCTGAGCTGCATTTCCTTGCCTACAGAATGAGATTAATCCTCCCTCCCCATGGGGTTGTTAAGAGGGTCTGATGAGATGGTGCGTGTCAGCAGCTGACCCTGGACCCTGCCCAGAGCTCAGGGTCCCGTAGTCACTGTTACTGGTTGGGAACACAGACCACAGGATCCTAATATTCCTTGCACAAAGGCACGTAAGGAATCCCTACGTTGGGAGACCAACCTCGAAGTCAGAACATCCCAGCAAAATGAAGATCTGGTTCCTTAAGGCCTGGGAGAGAGTCTGGCACCCAGCAGGGCTCAGTGAACTGCACGGAGGGGTGTTGCAGAAACACAATGCTGTGGCCATTCAGCGCCCGATCAATGAAAACCAGGAGGAGAGCACGACAGCGCGAGGGTGTGTGACCGCCCCATGCCTTGTCATCCTGCATCCTCGTCATCCGAGGGCTCTGGCCTTACCGGGCCAAGAGGCATGTTCATGCAGACCCACAGGGCCCTGGAGTGGCAGCCGAAGATGCCTGCCACCTCCCCGTGAGGAGGGGCACAGGGAGGCCCCCGGCACCGGGAGGAGCAGGCACGCTCTGCCAAGACCTCTGTAAACCCATCAAGCAAACAAATCCGGGAAGAGTCCTCCTCCCAGCCTGGCAGAGGAGAATGCAGGGTGTCAGTGTTATTTTAAACCAGGCCTACGTTCAAGTTTGCGTGGCAATGTTGTCTTAACAGAGCTCCAGTTCCAACTTCAAGTTGCTGCCGGAGAGATGTAACCATAGCCAACCAGAAAAAGCAAGTCCCGAATTGCCTGCCAGGCCCCACACACCGGCCTCTGGCCCTTTCCCTCCCTAACATCCCTCCTGATCAAAATGGCCCTAAGGTAACAGCAACAGAATGGCCAGCATCGGGACCATGTATTCATCTCATTAGGAACTAAATAAACACCAAATACCACGATCAGAATAGTAGAAACGAAAACCCGTTGCTGGGAGGGCCAGGGTGACGTGAGCAATAAACCTCTGGGAAGCAGTTTCAAATATTAGAAATTCTACCTTTAGGAAAATGATCAAGGAAGTAATTCTATTCAGGCAAATGTTTATTTGGGGAGAGAGAGAGAGAGAGAGAGAGAGAGAGAGAGAGAGAGAGAGAGAGAACTGACTTACACTTGATTAAAATGTGAAAACGTGGACAATCTCGATGCACTCCCAACTTTCTACTTGATGTTATGGAGAGGCCGGGAGGGTCTTTGTGTTGGAAGGGTGATGGTTTTCCTGGGTTCAAGTTATACCTCTGAAAAAATGAAAAGTTGAGCAGGGTAAGAGCCATTTTTCATAAAGCCAACAGACTATATAATTCCTGTTTATTAGCTGCCTCTTTCTCCTAGAAAAAGGAACTCCATGAAGGCAGGGTGTTGGTCTGTTTTGGTCACTTTGTACCCACTGTGCTTAGAACACACAGTAGGCACACGGTAAATATGTGTTGAATTAACAAACCTGCTTTGGTTTTTTCTCTTTGTGGCTTACTCACAGCTGATTTAACCTTCAACTTGCTAAAGATAAAAAGGGAAGAAAGAAAAAAAGAAAACTACCCCCAAGGAACCTCAGCCTTGGGGGAGAGCCCAGGCTTCCTGCTGACTTGCTGTGTGACCGTGGGCGTGTCACACACCCTCTCTGTGCCTCGTCTCCCATCCACAGAACTCGGCCTGGACTTGGTGTGCTCTGAGGGCCCCTAACTCTGACAATTGACGGTGCCCTCCTCCAGCCTCCATTAGAAGCTCAAACCAGTCCTAATCATATGACCAGCCACAAAAATGGGGTTTATTAAGACCTACTGTGTGCAAGCAGTGCTGTGGATACATCAGGGTACCAGGTCTGGCTGTGGCAGCTGCTGGCACAGAAAATGGAATTTGAGCCTGGAGAAGGCGGTTTTGGATCCTGGGACCCACTTTATGGGCTGTGGGGTCTAGGGAATATCAGCCTCAGAGGCCTCATCTATAACGTGGGCATCATGCTGGAACCCACCTCCTGGGGATGCTGCAGGAAGCAGGATTGGAACTCAGGCCTGCCTAACCCCACAGCCTCCAGATCCCCAGGTATGATGCCTCCTTTGGGTGCTCCCTGCTGGGACTGCCCATCCACCCACCTCTCCCACCACTGGCCCAGGTGCAAGCACAGCTCCGTGGCCGAGTGAGTGTCCCATTGGCAGATGTGACCCACCTGCAATGTCTAGTCTGACAGCCAGAGGCCCCGGCTAGAGGCAGGCACCCTGCAATGTGCAGGGAACGCTGGCTTCCCGCTCTGCCACACACTAGCTGTGGCGCCTTGGGCACGTCACCTTTCTTCTCTGAGCCTCTATTTTCCCTTCTATAAAATGGGTAGGTAGTCACAATCAGCTCCTATATACCTTGTACTGCAGTAAAAAGTAGATGTTATAGCCCTAGCCGGTTTGGCACCTTGGATAGAGTGTCACCCTGTGGACTGAAGGATCCCGGGTTCGATTCTGGTCAAGGGCACGTACCTTGGTTGCAGGCTCGATCCCCGGCCACCAATCAATGTCTCTCTTACATCGATGTTTCTCTCTCTCTCTCCCCCTCCCTTCCACTCTCTCTAGAAATCAATGGAAAAATATCCTCAGGTGAGGATTAACAACAACAACAACAAAAGTAGATGTTATACAATCAGAAAAGCTCATGCCACGCAGGCAGGCAGCTAATATGTCTCATACTCTGGAGCAGGATGTTTGGTTCAAACGCTGGCTCTGCCGCTAGCCGCTCATCCTGTCTGAGCTGCTGCTTCTGTAAAGTGGGAATAAGAACGGCTGAGAGCTGCCGTGAGAATGAGATGAGGGAGTAGCAGCACCTGTCACACAGCTGTCTCTGTGAGCTATTCCACGTCAAGTGCAGGGCAAGGCGCCCAGCACACAGACAGCTCCCATGTGGGTGACCCAGCTGGGGGAGGCCTGCCCCACGCCAGGCTGGTCTTTGCATGTGTAGCCCGGGCTGTGACCTGTTGCCTAAAATCTTGAAACCTCCCCCTGTTCTAGCCTGAGCCTCTCTGAGAGCCCAGCTGGGCCTAGTTAGGCAAGATTGGCTGCACCCGGGTGTTCACGGCCCCAGGCAGGGGGGGGCTACGGACATGAGGACCCAGACCTATGACCCCACCTCCAGGCGTCCTGAGCCCTCTGCCCTCCCTGGGAAACTGACGGAGCCAGCCTGCCACTGATTCTGGCACCGACACCCAAGGGGTCAAGGGGCAGATCCAGGGCAGAGGAGGGGCTGAGAGTGCCAGCCTCGGACCTGAGTGGGGAGGGGCTCGCCCCTGAGCACAAACCGCAGGTGCTGACTCATGGCCTCCACTGCGCAGTACAAAGGAACCAGCCAGGGGCTTCCTGCAGCCGCAGGGACGAGCTGGCCGGATCATGGCCCAGGGGACGGTGATCCACGTGACCCCAGAGCAGCCCACCTACGCCGTATGTGTGCTGGGCACCAAGCCCCAGCTGGATGTCTGCGGGTGAGCAGGGGACATCCTGGGGGCGGGGAGCAGGTCCACTGATGCTGGATGAACAGGTTCTGCTGACACGGGCTGTGCGCTTGGCTCGGGCTCCAGCCTCAGTAGCTGTTGCCAGGGGAGAAGCTGGAAAGGGAAGACCTGAGTGGCTCTGGGAGGTGCCCAGACTCAGGGCAGTGGGGTCTTTGCCGCGTACAAGTGGGAGTTCCCTGGGGGCCTCACCACAAAGAAAGTATTATCACTGAGGCAATAGAAGTTCAGAGAGAGTTTGTGATTTGCCTGAGATCACACAGCACGTGTGCCCGGAAGTAAGGCTAGACCCTGGACTTCATGACCCAGACCTGGTTCATGGTTGCAGCCAAGCCTCCCTCCATGGGTGCCTAACAGCATGGGTGTGATGAGACAGGCTCGGCCGTGGGAAAGGCTGAGGTGGGAAACCTGGCCCTGCTGTTGGCTAGCTGGGTGGCTTTGGGCTTCTGAGCCTCGGTTTCCTTGTCTGTGAAATGGGAATAATACCCACTTCATAGGGCGGTAAAAGATATTAAATGTGAAAAACCATGAAAATGTTAAGTTCTTAGCACAGTGTGGGGCATACCCCTGGTAGTTGCTCATTCCTTCACCCATTCATTCAACAAATACCAACTGAGTACCTACTATGTGCTAAGCCTTGGGTCAAGATCTAGTTAAATCAAATGGTCCAGGAACACTCTTGGAGGGTGTGCATCGAATGGTCGGCGTCATTGTTGTTGTTAGTAATAATACTGGCAGCCCTGGTTTCCTCCCTCCCAGGCTGGTCCTAGAATGGCACCTGCAGGAATTTCTGGGGTATTTCTTTGAAAGTGTCACTTGCCTGGACCCGGGCAGCGGGAGAACAGCAGTAACTGCTAAGGTGGCTTCCCAGGAGGGGAGGCAGGAGACCGAGGGTGAGGAGGAAAGGAAAAAGAGAGCCTCGTGTCATCCGAGGTTCCTCCTTCAGGGAGACAGTGAGCCTGCCACTCAGCTCCCCGAAGGTCTCCCAGACTAACGGCTACATTCACATCACGCTCCCCACACAGAGCTCATTCCATAGCCCTATGAGGTAGGCAATGCTGTTATTCCCACTTTACAGAAGGAGAAACTGAGGCCCTGAGAGCCACACAGCTATAGGTGAGGATTCAAACCCAGGCAGCCTGGGTCCCCGACCTTCCTCTCTCCACTTCGGTCCCTGGACCAGCCTTCCCATCACTTCTAACCTGCCCTGCACAGCAGTCCCCAGCCAGCACCTTCGTCCCATCTGCACAGCCACCACCCTTACTGCGGCCTGAATTCTCTTCTTAAAACACAGCCGGGTTGACACCCCCTCCCACCCCCCCGGCAGCAGCATGCACCCTTGAGCCCCTCCCAGCACAGCACATGCCTCCACACCCTGCTCGAGCCGTGCCCCCTGCCACTGGGCTCAGACCCCCAGGGTTAGAAAGAGGCGGGACAGACCACTTGGGTGTGGGTGCCTATTCCAGAGCTGCTTTCACCTCTGCTGGTGATTTTCATTCTCTGTTGGGAAAGTACTTTCCCCGGAACAGGAAATACATGGATTACATGCAAACAAAATCCCTGGAAACCTGTTGAGGCACTTTCTGTGATGCTTGTGGCTGGCGTCAGGGCTGTATCATGACCCCAGGGACTAGCGCCAGCCCTTCCATCGGGATTTCTAATCCTCCCAGAAGCCCTGCAAGGTGAACCCTCTCATCGTGCCCATTTTAGAGATGAGTAATCTGAGGCTTCAAGAGATAAAAAAACATCTACCTGGCAGGAGATTTGAACCCAGGCCTGTCTGATCCTAAACCCACCTGCCTCTCCAGCACACACTGCCTCTGAGCGCTGCGGGGTCGGCCTCGCTGGGCACGGCTGCCTGGTTGGTGGAATTCATGCAGCTTCCGAGGGGCTTGGGAAAGGCCCAGAATGGGTGCGGGGTCCAGGAGGCCCAACCACGGTGGGTGTTCTGAAGCTGCCAGCGATGGGCTTCTCCTCTTCCTCCCAGGGTCTCCTTTTCAAGAGGAGACCATGCAGTGGGACAGCGAGGAGCATGAGCAAGCCTGTTAGTGTCTCAGAGCCTCAGTTTACCCATCTGTAAAATGGGAGACTCAACACCCACCTTGCTGGGTTGTGGCGAGAGTTCAATTATAAAATGCAGGCCGGGTGTCCGGCCGAGTGGTCCCCCTTTGCTAGAAGAGTCGCGTGAGCCCCTGCATGTGTGAGTGTCACAGACCCACGGGAGGTCATGGGTAAGGAAATGCTGGGTGCGGGAGCCGGAGAAATGATGTCACTCGTGCGGGCTCAGGTTCTCAGTGCCGCCTCCACAGAGGCTCCTGGACGTTACAAGAAGAGTCAGCTCTGAGTTGTCTTGTATTAACACACGTGGGCGCCCCTACACAGAGACACAGTGAAACCCACATGCCTCTGAGACTGCCTTGTTGTTAGGAAGCCAGCCCCCCATCTCCTGAGAGAGCAGGGAGTTCGCCGAAGGGGAATGAGAGAAGCCCTGCGGCAGAAGTGCGGGAAGGGAGGGTGTGCGGCTTCCGATTGCTGTTGTAAGAGGTTACCACAGATCTAGTTGCTTAAAATGCTGTCTCTGAATAAAACTGAAAAAAACAAAAGACAAAAAACAAATGTATGATCTTCCAGTTTGGGAGGCCAGAAGTTCAAAAATGGGTCTCACGGGGCTAAAATTCACGGAGCTAAAGTCAGCGTGTCCGCAGGGCTGTGTGCCTTTGTGGAGGCGGAGAGAACCACTCCTTCCTTCTGCAGCTCCTGGAGGTCACCTGCATCCTCGGCTCATGGCCCCTTCTAACAGTTGCATCACCCATTTCCTCTCGCTCTGCCCCGCCCACCCCCTCTTCTAAAGACCCTTGTGGTTACACTGGTCCCCCCCAAATAATCCAGCATATTCTCCCCATCTCCAGATCCTTAATCACATCCGCAAGTCCTCTCTTCCATGTGAGATGACATATGCGTGGGTTCTGGGGATTGATATGTAGTCGTCTTCGGGGCACTGTGATTCTCCTGCAGAGAGAAATCTCACCTGGAGGAAGAAACCCCGCTGCATTGGAGTGACGGGGAAGGATTCGGTGGTGCGGGTCCCACTGAGATGGGTCTTTGGGCTGGATTAGTGACTCCTTAGACTGTGATGAAAGAATATGCTACCTACACCATATGTTACCTGTCCTTTCATATTTGTTAAATGAAATAAATTTGTTATGGCGAATTACATGGATATATATATATATATATATATATATATATATATATATTGCATTTATTATTATTTTTTTATTGATTTTGCATTTATTATTATTTTTTTATTGATTTCAGAGAGGAAGGGAGAGAGATAGAGAGATAAAAACATCAATGATGAGAGAGAATCATTGATTGGCTGCCTCCTGCACGCTCCCTACTGGGGATCGAGCCCACAGCCCCGGCATGTGCCCTTGGCCAGAATCGAACCTGGAACCCTTCGGTCTGCAGGCCAACGCTCTATCCACTGAGCCAAACTGGCTAGGGCGGTTATATATATTTTTAGTGATCCATGTGTGCTTTGCTTGGGAAAGTGTATATTCACTAGTTGTGGGGTCAGAATTCTATATATGTCTCCTAAATCAAGTTTGTTACTTGTGTCCCTTTTTTGTCTGCTTAATCTATTGTTAATTGAGAAAGGGGAGTTGAAATCTTCAACCATGATGGTGAATTTGTCAACTTCTCCCTGTATTTCTACCAAGGCTTACTTTATAAATCTACTGAGCTATATTAGGTACATACAAGTTTAGAATATCTTCTAGGTGAGTTGAACCTCATTCTTTGGTTGAGATCTTCCTATTGCTAACAGTGCATTGTTTGTCTGGTATTAATATGCCCATCCCAGCTCTCTTTTGGTTAGTATTGGATTAATGTACTTCATCTTTTCTGGATCCTTATATTTTAGGGGTGTCTCTTATAAATAGCATATAGCTATTGTTTCTTTATCTAATCCCAAACTCTCTTTTAACATTAAACCATTTTCATTTATTTTGAATATATGTATGGATATGTTTTTAATATTTTTATTAATTTTCAGAGAGAGGAAGGGAGAGGGAGAGATAGAAGCATCAATGATGAGAGAGAATCATTGATCAGCTGCTTCCTGCATGCCCCCTACTAGGGACTGAGCCTGTATGTGCCCTGACCAGGAATCAAATCATGACCTCCTGGTTCAAGGGTCAACATTCAACCACTGAGCTACACCAGCCAAGTTGGATATGTTTTTACCATTATTTTTATTTGTCTATTTCCCCCCCCCCATGTTATCTTTTGCTTTTTTATTTCCTTTTTGAATGGAATTTTTCTGTTCTTTTTTATTATTGTATTTTCTGCATGTGTAGAATTTTATGAACTCTATTCCTACTATTTAAATTTAATCATAAAATTTTAACTCTATAAAATCTAGAATTAAACACTGTTAATGCCACAATTTTGATATTTAAAAAAAAATTTTTTATTGACTTGAGAGAGAAAGACCTCCCACACAAACCCCGACCAGGGATCAAACCCACAACCTGGTATGTGCCCTGACCAGGAATTGAACCAGTGACCTTTCGGTGCATGGGACAATGCTCAACCAACTGAACCACACCAGCCTGGGCTACCATTTTGATATTTGAAAACCGTTTTTATACAGACAAACTGTATACTTACCATTTTATTTGCTCACCATTCTTTCTTGCCTGTCAGACCATGCTTCTGGCCTCCAATATCTTCTTCTTAAAGTATTTAGAAATTGGTTTGGTGAAAGTGTGCTGGTTTTAAAATATCAGTTCCTCTTCACCTGAAAATGCCTTTGTTAAAATATAATTTGGTCATGTACACAATTCTAAGCTGATAGTTATTTTTTCAATATATTTCGAAGATATTATTCAGTGGTCTGCTGGACTTCATTGTTGCTATGGGGAAGTTTGCTCTCAGTCTGATTGTTATTCCTTCATAGGCGATCTGGCTTCTCTTTCTGGATACCTTTAAGATCTTCTCTTTGTCTTTGGTGTTCTTCAGTGTAACTACTGAGTTGTGTATGTGTGCAGAGAAGGGAGTCCTTGGAGATTTTCCTGACTTCTCATGATCACAGCCATGTTCTAAAAAATTATATTTTAGCCAGATCCAGTTGTGAGTACTGGCCTGCCATCATTCCAGAAGCAGAAGTCTGTCTGATTCTTTGCTTGGGCACAACCCTTTGTGTGTTTGTGGAGAGTAAACCTCCGGGGGTGCACACTGCTCCGTGCACACATCCGTGTGTGTCTTTGCTGTGCACATCTCTCTGCAATTTCCCTAGTTCCAGTGCACGCCCGCTGGACCAGGGGACTCGTTTTGTTTCTCATGACCTCCTGACAACCTCCCACGGTCAGGGTCAGGCCGGCTGCTCTCTGGTGTGGACACTCTTTGGGGAAAGGAAAACTGCTGGGAGAGCTGTGGTGGCCAGACTGACCCTGCCTCTCTGTCCTCCCTGTCTGTGCCTCTCACAGCTCTGCCCCCACGGGCTGCACCTTCTTCAGCATCAACGCCTCCCCAGGGGTGGTGGTGGATGTTGCCCACAGCCCTCCAGCCAAGAAGAATCCCACAGGTTCCTCCAAGTGGCCCCTGGACCCCGGGCTGGAGGTGAGCCTGAGGATGAGGGCTGCCAGCAGCAGCATGGGCGACCAGAAGGTGAGTGCGGCCGCTGTGGGGCGGGCTGTGCGGGAGGAGGCCAGCAGGTCTGAGCAGGTCAGCTCCCCACAGTCTGCCCTCATCGACCCAGAGCCCAGCCTGGGCGGGCTTCCATCTCTCTGAAAAAGCGCATGATGGCTCATGCCAGCCATGGCGTCCTCACAGACAAGATAGGGATGCCAGGGGTTATTGATAGGCCAGGGTTCTGATGAGATTCACTTATTCAGCAAATGTTTCGTAGTCACCTCCTCTGTACCAAGCACTGCCAGGCACTGGAGATACAGAAATAAACAAGACGGGGGAGGCTGCCGCCTTCACGGAGCTTACAACCTAGGGGTGAGGGTATCGGATACTGTATAGGTTAGCAATTATAGATGGTGGTGAGCGCTATGAAGCCCGCAGCCAGGCAGCCCCAGGAAACGCTGGTCCATGCCCGTGTATTTCGTTTCCTGTGGCTGCTGTACCACAAACTGGTGGCTTAGAACAACAGAACCGTATCCTCTCGCCGTGCTGGAGGACAGACATCAGACATCCAGGCGTCGCCAGGCCACGCTCCCTCTGGAGGACCTCAGGGAGAATCGTTGCTTTGCCTCTTCTGGCGTCTGGTGGCTGCTGGCACTCCACTCTCGGCCTCTGTGGTCACACTGCCTCCTCGTCGGTCTGTCACACCTGCCCGTTTCTCTCTCATCACTGCATCTAAGGCCTCCCCCAGCCAGCCAGGATGATCTCACCCCCAGGTCCTTAATTACATCTGCAAAGATCTTTTCTCCAAATAAAGTCACACTTAACCGGTTCCAGGGATTAGGATGTGGACGTATCTTTTGAGGCACCACCATTTACCACTGCACCCTCATTGGCTGTAGATGGGCTCAACAAGACCCTCTGGGGTTCCCACGGAGGGCTGGGCCAAGGGCCATTTGTTCTCCCAGCAGGACAGGCCTGGCAGGCTCCCCACTGGGGCAGAGAGTTGCTGTCTGCTGTAGGAGCAGAGAGCTTGGGTAACAAAGCAAGTTGGGGAGGGTGCAATCAGGGGAAACTTCCTGGAGGAAGAGGCAAGCTGAAGAATGGTCTGAGTGACCCACCAGAGAGAAGGAAAGAAGAGTGAGAGCTCTACATAGGGGATGTGACCTGTGTGCTCACTCTGGGTGAGGAGAGGGTGAGACTCATGTTGTGGAAACTGGGAAAGATCTGGATGGCGAGAAGGGAGAGTGGAAAGGAAGGGACGGGGAGAGAGACAGAAAGCCAGTATTAAAGGGTTTCCATCAGGGACATCTCTGTGAAGGCAACAGGAAGCCAAGGAAAACGTGTCATCCAGGGAGTAGCAAGGGTGCATTTGTGTGTTCGAACAACCCCACTGGCTATAATGAGTAGATTGGATGCAGGCAGTAGACTAGAGGCTGACGCCGTGGTCCAGACATGAGGTGACAGAGGCTGTGACATTTCCCTGGATCCCCACCGTCTACAGGACAGATCCTTCCTCTAGTGGCAGCTCCTTGGTTTGGCTTTGGGAAACTGCCCTCCGCCATTTAGCTTGGGAGTGTCCATCCTGATGCTCCGCCCTCCTCAGGCTTGGCCGAGCCAATCAGATGCATTTGTCCTGGATTTTGGACTTTGGGCAGTGGGGGCCGGTGTTTCTTACTCAGGTCGGCACCTGCCCTGAAGAGACCACACCCATCCACAGCGCCTGCTCCCAGACCCTCGGGGAGCTGGGCTACGGCCAGGTCTGGCTCTCCGGGTCTCCTCCACCTCTCTGCTTGCAGAGCCAGTTTCCGTGGCTTATCACCCGCGCTGTCCCTCTCACGCCTCTTCCACCACGTCTCCAGCTGCTCAATAGAAGATCTACCTCAATATGTACCTCCCTGTCACACCCTGGCAGCGTGAGCCCCCCCACTTCTGGGCTCCCATAGGACCCCCGTCTCTGCATTTGAGTGTGTTGCTACCCCTCCACTCCCACCAGCTAGGGTGCTCCTTAGGGCTGAGACCACTTCTTCCCCATCCTGGTCTCCTCAGCATCCTGCCCTGATCAGGCACACAGCAAGCGGCAGTTCGTGTTTGTTGAATGACTAAGAGACGTCATGAGTGGTTTCCCGCTGTCCTATAGGTTCAGATTTCATACTACGGACCCCAGACCAACCCAGTCCACGCGCTGCTCTACCTCACCGGGGTGGGTAAGTGACCGGGACCCCTCCCCCTCCCACAGGAGCTTACTCAGACTGAGCAGGGAAAAGGCACAGCTTCTAGCCGGGCACATAGCTGGTGGCTCACAAATGCTCCCTCCTCAGTCCGGGAGCCACAGAAGGTACAACTGGGGAGAGAGGGCGTTGCAGGAAGCTTCAACTTCTTAATATTTCGTTTCTCAACTTAGGAGATGTTGCACAGATTTTCAGTATTTGAGTCTCTTATCTTTTTGACACTTCAACTACTCATTTTTCTAAATGTAGATGACGACATTGTCTTATGCAGTAATATACACCAGTGTTCCTGAAATGCCATTGTTGGCATCTCATTATATTTGCCATATCAATGATCTACCTAGACTCCTATTTATTTAATATTCTTCTTTAAATAAAGTATATTTCTAAATCTTGAACAGTAACATAATGACATTATTATTCTTTAAATGTGCATGAAATGTATGGACTGTATCTGAAACCTTCAGGTTTCATTTCATTAATGAATTTCATTCATTATTACACATTTATTTCATGGATACACATGTTAATAATAATGATGATAATGATAAAGCACTAGCTCTATAAACCAGGCACTGTGTTAAGACTTTACATTTAAACCTTACAACAATCCAATGAGATTGTTACTATTATCCCATTTTGCGGATGAGAAAACTATTGCCCAAGGTCACTCAGCCGGTTCGTGAAGGAGCAGGGACGTCCTGGCCCCTAAGCACCTGCTGCCTGGCCGCACAGTAACACGTGGTTATGATAAAAGGCCATCTGGGTGGATCTCGCACTGTGAGCTCCCAGGTCGCTACATCACGGCTCCATGTCACTGAATGAATGAATGACAGTGCAGTCATGTGGTCTGACAAGGGAGGAAGAATTTAGAAACAGACATATGCTTTCACTTGGACAGAGACGGGTGTGTTTGGGGCCATGATTTGTTCCCAGGGGGTCACAAAAGAGCAGGTGGGGTTGGAGTGACCACTGCGTCCTCCACCCAAGGTCGCGGGGGACTGGAGTTGGGGCAGAGGCCTTGAGAGCCTGGCAAGGTGTCCTTGCGGGGGCTTCACACCAAGCACCCCCTTGGGGGGCTGGGAACTCTTGGGGAAACCCCTGAGGGCGGCCGCACAGGCAGGGTCTGGGTGGCATCACAGCTGTGGTGGGTGCCCCAAAGGAGAATACGTGTGGTCAGGGGCCCCAGCCCTGCTGTCCGGATTGCAGGCAGACTTCGCGCGCCCCGGCCTTTCCAAGGGTGTCTTTGAACCTGTGCCTCCTCTGAAGGGAGAGAGAGGCCTCGGTGCAGAGCAGCGGTTCTCAACCTGTGGGTTGCGACCCCTTTGGGGGTCAAACGACCCTTTCACAGGGGTCGCCTAAGACCATAGGAAAACACATATATAATTACATATTGTTTTTGTGATTAATCACTATGCTTTAATTATGTTCAATGTGTAACAATGAAAATACATCCTGCATATCAGATATTTACATTAGGATTCATAACAGTAGCAACATTACAGTTATGAAGTAGCAACGAAAATAATTTCATGGTTGGGGGTCACCACAACATGGGAACTGTATTAAAGGGTCGCGGCATTAGGAAGGTTGAGAACCACTGGTGTAGAGGGTCTCCTAGGGAAAGGAGTGTCCATGGGGGTCAGGCTGGGTGCCCCGACCCTGTACCCTCACCAACCCTCTCCTCTCACGTGGTGGATTTCAGAAATCACCTTGAGCGCGGACATCACCCGCACCGGCAAAGTGAAGCCCACCAAAGCCCGGAAGAACCAGGTACCTCAACCTTGACTGACAGGCAAAACGCTCCCTGCAGCTCCACTGGGTTCTCCTCTGGCGCCCCCTGGTGGTGGTGGGATGGCTGGCGGTCTGTCTCACATAATCCCGTGTTCACTGGAAGAACAAGAAAAAGAAGGGAATTTAAAACACCGTTATCACTTTGGTTCACGTATTTCCCACCTCTTCTACAAAGCTAGGTTTTTCACTGGCTGTGAATTCAGAGAATGTGTTGCCCCACAAACTGGAAACCAGAATCACTCAATGAATGTGCAGAAGAGAGGAAACTTTGCAGGCACGAAAGTCTTTAATGCCTGTTCAGGGAGAGTCCCATGATGCTGCCCTCATGGGGTGAAGGACAGAGAAAGGAAGAGCCGGCAGGGCAGGGGTGGGAAGGCGCAGGAATGTCTGTTACGGAAAGAGAGGGGTGGTGCCTGTAGGTGAGGGGAGTCGGGAGTCTTAAGTGGGGTGCATGGATAGACCCCAGGGTGGCCCCGAGGCCTCAGAGCTGCCTGATGCTGTGTTCCCATCAAGAGGAAATGACCCGTCAAAGGCTTAAGATCCCTTTGTTGGTTCCGTCCAAAGTGGGGGAAGAATTCCACCTCCGAGGGTGGAATCCATCTTGTCCCCACCCCACACGCAGTCATTCCCGGAGCTCCACCGCTCTCTCACCAACAAAAGACATCATGGCTACCGGCCCCCGCCCTGAGGGGCGGCCTAATGCGCTTTAATCTTCCGCAGACAGTCACTGGCTGCTAAGAATAGTGCCCATACTTGGGTGGGTGAGTCATTAAAAGTTCGCATAAGAGTAACTATTTAGATTAGAATCTTGGCACAGATACTCAGCTCAGTTTGGTTTGCCAATCCAACCGTTTCCAAAGGCTGTTAAAATGAATTGTACTGTCCTGGGCTCCTTGTTTAAAGTGGGTGGATTGCATTTTTGGTGAACTTGCTCATGACTTTCAGGGCAAAAATCCACTCTGGGGGACCAAAGAAGGAGCTAATGTGGGAGCAAGAGATGTGAAGGGTGCGAGGCCCTGAGATGCTGGGAACGGGTGGCTCTGCCTCCCCAGGAGTCGCAGGGACACACACGGGTTCTGAGGGTGCCCCGTCTCTGCTGGGTGTCCACAGAGCACCTGGACCTGGGGCCCCCGCGGGCAAGGCGCCATCCTGCTGGTGAACTGTGACAGGGACAACCCCCACACCTCTGCCATGGACTGCACAGATGACCGGGTGCCTGACGGAGCAGGTAAAGGCCCCCGAGAGCTATGGGAATAGAGCTTCGTCACTGAATGAAGCCCGTTGTCCCAAGCCTGTACCCGCCCTCAGAAATCGGGACTGTTGGGAGCAAGTTCTTGTTGGGGTGTCCACGGCCTAAGACAGTGATGGCGAACCTTTTGAGCTCGGCGTGTCACATTTTGAAAAACCCTAACTTAACTCTGGTGCCGTGTCACATACAGAAATTTTTTGATATTTGCAACCATAGTAAAACAAAGACTTATATTTTTGGTATTTATTTTATATATTTAAATGCCATTTAACAAAGAAAAATCAACCAAAAAAATGAGTTCGTGTGGCACCTCTGACACGCGTGTCATAGGTTCGCCATCACTGGTCTAGGAGAAGGAATGGACAAGGGTCCTGAGAGGGCAAGTGACCTGCCCAAGGCCACACAGCAGCCAGAGAGGAATCGGGAGCAACACTGCACTGAGCCCCAACGCCTCCTCCAGGCCCCGGTTTCCATGCCCCCCACATGCTACCCAACCCAAATTTCTGCTTTTGGGTCAAAACTGGGGCCCGAAATAATTCAAAAGGAAAGCCTGGCTACTTCCCCAAACTCAGGTCCGAGCAGCCCCGAGGCCCTGTGTGTGCGGTCCCGGCTCTGACAACTCAGAATTACGCATTCATTCGATCCTTTGACACAGGCTGAGAAGTCTGTACTGTCTTCCTCCCCACTTTACAGATGGGGAAACCGAGGCATGGGGGAGTTAAGCAATTTCCTCAAGGTCACACAGCTAGTAAGTCGCAGGCTCAGGATTCGAACCTGGGGATCCTGACACCAGGCCTGGTTTAGGGCACAGGGATGGTGATGGGGAAGGATCTCAGCCGGCACAGCTCTGAAGTGTGGCAGGCGGAAGCACATTGCCCACCTTCCCTGGAGAAGGGTGCTAAGGGGGTGGGACTGGCCAGCGAGGGGAGCGGCTATGGCCTTCCTGGGGAATTGGTAGGATAGCATAGGAACAGATGCATGCCCGGTGCCCGGCACACAGGCAGCCGGTACCTTTGTGGGCACTCCCAGGACCTGGGCGCTATCATGAGCCCGTCATGCAGATGACCTCAGCCTTCCCTCTGGGTGGGCACTACTCCTGTTTACCGATGAGGAAACAGGTGCCGAGAGCTGAAATAACTTCCCCTAAGCCCGCCCATCCCAGTGCCCGTGACTATTGTCAGCTCGGCTCTCCGCACGCCTTTGTGGGCCCTGATTCTGGGTGGTTCACAGACTTCGCTTCCCGCTCAGGCCCAGGGGACAACCCTTTCCACTTATTCATCCCATAAATAGTAGCCAGCCCCTGCTAGGCATTGTTCTAGGTGCTTCCAGGTTGTCTCGCTTCTGGGGGCTGGGGACAGAGCCGTGAGCAAGATACATAGGTTGCGGCTTTGCTGGGCTTACCGCCGAAGCTCATCCTAGTGGGATAAGAGCATCAGCTTTCATTCCAAAATAAAAAAACATCATTTAACTCCTGGAAAGGGCATAAAGCACATAAAGCCAGGTGGCATGGGAAAGGGTGTCCGCTGGTGGGGAGGGGAGGCCAGGGCTCCGGGGCCCGCGTCTCAGGCCACACCTTCTCGCCCCAGACGTGCAGGACATGTCCCTGGTGACGCTGAGCACGCGGACGCCCTGGGACTTCTTCTCCAAGCACCAGCTGGTGCTCCACGTGGCCAAGTCCGAGATGGACAGAGTCCGAGTGTTCCAAGCCGGCCGTGAGTTGTCCCGGGCCGGCATTTCCATGCTCCCTTCCCGCCCCCGCCCCGGGCACAGCCCCTTCCCACCCGCTTTGGCAAACATTTCCTGAGCACCTACTATGGGCCAGGTTCCAAGCCCCGAGGACAGAGTCGGGAGCAAGACGGACAGCGGCTCTGCCCACCCCCCTCCTAGAAGGGGTGCAGACAGAAAGCAGACAGACTGCAGTGATGTCTGGAGGCTGGGAGCTCTGAGAAGGACAGACTCCCCTCCCAAGGACTGTTGCCATCTGTCACCATCCTCTCTCTCTCTCTTTCTCTCTCTCTCTCTCTCTCTCTCTCTCTCTCTCACACACACACACACACACACACACACACACACACACACACGACTCTTGTTTAAGGAGATTCTGGCATCCACACTGACTGCGTGTGTTAGGTGATTGTTTGCTCTCCAACATCCGTCAGTAACTTCTCAGCAGCTCACGAGCACCTGCTGCTATGTGAGTGCCAGGCTCGGCTCTAGGCACAGGGGCGGGGAGCAAAGACCACAGCGAAGGCCCTGCCCTCAGGCCGCTTCCATCTCAGAGGGCTGGGGGAGACGCTGAGGAACATAATTAAGTAAACGGTGCCTCCGATGGCGTTAAATGCGACGGGGAAGAATGGAACAGGGAAAGGGACGAGGGTGAGAGTGGAGTCAGGAGGTTGGGGAGAGGAAGGTCAGGGAAGGTGTCCCCCCACAGAGTGTCATCTGAGCAGAAGGAGGTATGGGAACAGCCACATGCACACCCTGGGGAAGGACAGCCCAGGCAGAGGGAACTGTAAGTGCAAAGGTCCTGAGGCAGGAGCGTGCCTGGGGGCTGAGGGATGCCGGGGTGCCGGTGCATCTGGATGCAGTGTGCAAGGGGTAGGTGGTAGGTGAGGGTGGAGGAGAAGGGGCAGAGGGGCAAGCCGGATCAGGTAGGCGTGGGGTGGCTTTGGCTTCTCGCCTGCGGGAGCTGGGAGGTGCTATCAGAGTTTTGTGCAGGAGATGACGATTTTATTCACATTCTAGACCAACGTGACTCGGCTGACATTGGTTTGGCGACAAACCAAGTCCTTGCCTCTGCCAAGGCATCACCTCCTCCAGGTAGCTTTCCCTGGCCCTCTGGGCTTCCCTCCAGCACAGCACGTATTGCCCTCTGTGATGCTGACTGTCTTTGCTCCTCCCTACTCACCCAGCGACTGTGCACTCCCTGGAGACCAGGACAGGGACGGTCTTCTTGGTCTCCCCAGGTGTCAGCTTAGAGCAGGTGCTAGGAATGAATGAATGAATGAATGAATGAGTGAGTGAGTGAGTGAACGAACAATGAACGAACCATAATGTATATGTTGGAAGTGGCTCAGGCGCTCCCGTCACTCTATTCTTGGACCCCAGGCTGGGGTGGGGGGTTATGTTCCAGTTGGGGCTTTAGTCCCTTTCTCTTAAGGGGAGGCTTTGGCCAGATTTAGCTGTGAGGGGCCCTCAGGGGGGCATGCGGTGGCGACATGGACCTGAGCCTCCCCTGTTCTCTCCTAGGGGGCAAACAGCCCTCGGGGTACCAGGTGATCCTGGGGCCCCAGCAGCCCTCCCACCTCCTGGAGCTCCCGGGCGGCCAGCACAGCACAGACTTCTACGTGGAGGGCCTCACTTTCCCAGACGCCAACTTCCCGGGCCTCATTTTCCTCACCATCTCCCTGCTCAGCACGGCCAACCCGGTAGGCCAACGTGGAGGCAGAGGGGGCCCTGGGCGCAGGCAGTGGCCCAGCAGGGGAGGGGGTAGGTGGGGACCCTGGCTTCTGTGAGAACCCCTCCCCGGCCCCTCTCCCTGCAGGAGCTCCCCAAGACCCTGGTGTTCCAAGACAGCGTGGCTTTCCGTGTGGCCCCCTGGATCATGACCCCCAACACTCAGCCCCCGAAGGAGGTGTATGTGTGCAGGTGAGGGGCTCTGGGGTGGTGGGGGCGGGGCATAGATGCACCAGGGGGAGCCAGGGTCCAGGAGCCCGGGGTTCTGGCTGCAGGCCCCCATGTGCTGGCTGTGTGAAGGGGGAAGTGTAACCCCCAATGCACTGGCTGCGGGTCACGGCTTGTCTGGACCCGCTCAGAGGCAGGGAAGCTACTGCAGCTGTCTGTGTGGTGGCTGCCCTGCCCACATGCAGGCCGAGGGCTGCTTTTAGGTCCCGGGGGCCTGAGGAGTCTGCCAGACCTGCAGGAGGAGAGCCCTCGGCCCCTGAGTTGCTCAGAGTGTGGCCCTTAGACCTTCTGCCCCAGAAACCGCTGGGACTCGTTGAAAATGCTCATTCCTAGCCAACCTCTGAACAGTTGGGTCTTGTAACTGGGGATGGGCCACGGGCATTTAACAAGCTGCTCTGGGAAGCCTCAGCATCCAGTCCGCAGCCTAGGGGCCCCTCTTAAATATGCTGGGGTCTCGGGGTCCCTCCCTTCTCCTCTTCTGATTGCTTCAAGGGAGGAAGGGGTGAGAGTGTAACCTGGTCATCAGGACACAGGCTGGAAGCCAGAGAGGCCTGGGTTCAAATCCCAGTGCCATCCCTAGACGGCATGACCTTGAGCCTTGGCCTCCCCACTCGGTGGAAGGTGGCTTTTATCCTGGTGACTCTGATGGGCATGCAGCAGCCCAGTCAATGTCAATCAGATCCGTTGTCCAAGTCCCGTATGGCAGGACCCTCTAGTTCCTTTCATGGACTCTCACGGGGTTTAATGGGATGATATTTGCTAAGAGCAGAGAGACGGACGTCTCTTCAGGCTGCAGCATCTCCTGAGCACCCACTGTGCGCCTCCCCAGTTCTGGCCAGGCCCGAGCTCTTACTCCAGCTGAGGGGCCCTTCATGGGTGCAGCTTGCCCCCCAGAGCTGGCTGCTGGGTTCAGAACTCTAAGGTATTTCTTCTCTGCTCTTTCTAGGATATTTGATAACGAGGACTTTGTGAAGTCATTGACCGCTCTGGCCAAGAAAGCCAGGTGCAAGCTGACTGTGTGCCCCTTGGAGGAGAGCATGGAGGACCAGTGGATGCAGGTGCGTGGCCCTGTGGGGTGAGCAGAACAGGGGGCGTAGGATGAGTGACCCTTAGGCCAAGGGTCACTGGGGGACCCAGGCTCCAGGGGGCTCAGCCTAGAGCCTTGCTGGCCACCCTTCCTCAGATGGGCAGGGAGTTGGAACCTCTGGGGGTCCTGGCACAGGGGACTCGGGCAACTGATTTGATTGACATCGACTGGGCGGCTGCATGCCCATCCAAGTCACCAGGATGAAAGCCACCTTCTAGTTTAAACACTCTCAGACGACCTCCGGACACGAGTCCAAGCTTCTGGGCTCAGCCACCAGATCAGGCCACACCCCTGCTCCAGCACCTTCCATGGCTCCCATCCTCTCCTCCTCAGCCTGCCTCCAGGGTCCTCGCAATCTGGCTGTCCCCTGCCCCCGGTGCCAGTCTGCCACCACACAGGCGACACTGTGTCAGCTTTCTATTTCCATGCCAGGCATGCCCGTCATGCCCTGGGCTCCCTGAGGGCAGAGACCAAGTCTCCTTCACCTCAGCACCCCAGCCTGGCGTTGGGCAGTGCCAGTGGGCTGTTGGTGGGCTGAACTGAACTTCTTTTCTGTGCCCTTGCTTTGCCCCGAGGCTCTGCCGGTCCAAGCCTATAACCTGCCCCGCCCCCCACACACACACGCACACACCTCTGCCCACGCTGTTCCTCCTCTCCGACCACCCTCCCCATTCTCATCCCCATGTCCACATCATGCCTGCCCACTCCCAGCCTGAGAGCTCCCCCTCCGTAAATGTGCCCAGTCCCCCGTGGGAATTCAGCCCTCTTTCCACTCCCCCCCCACCCTCTAACACCCTCTCTTCCTCTCTGTCATTCCCTCTGTGATAAATCAGGTTGATCCATGTGAAACAGCTGACAGGCCTCCATTCTTGACCTCCAGGAATGGCAGTTTCATATGGGTCAGCTTAAGTGACTTCTGCCCAGTATCACATCTGTCTGCTAGAACACAGGCAGGATTTGCACCCGATTCATTCCTGATCCTCCCCTAACCTGTCCCCCTGGGGAGAAGGCCATTCCTACGCCCGCCCTACAGGCCTCGGCTCAGCAATGCTCCCCCCTGACCTGTCCCACCCTCGCAGCCCTTCCTCCGTGTTCCCATGGACCCCTCCCTCCCTTCCTATCACCTCCTAACCCGGGGTGGTGAGACCCTAGCCCCCTGGCTCTCACCTCCAGGACAGTGCCTGAGGCTTGCTCAGGATGGGTCCCCAGGACTCAGCGGGGCACCCCCCAGGAGTGGCGTGAAGGACACTCAGAATTTCACAACACGTTGGTGCAAACCCAGGACGATAAGCTCTGCTTTCTCAGAGCCCCTCCCCTGGGGTCCAGCATCCTGCATGAACTTGTCCTTGGCCGCCACGGGGAGAACGTGTGGAGGGTGCTCCCTGCCCCTCCCCGTGCTGGGTGCTAACACCCAGGCAGCCTGTGACCAGCCTCCCTCCGCTCGCTGTGCCCAGGATGAAATCGAGATCGGCTACATCCAAGCCCCGCACAAGGCGCTGCCCGTCGTCTTCGACTCTCCGAGGAACAGAGGCCTGAAGGAGTTCCCGGTCAAGTGCCTGCTGGTAGGTGCTGGTGGGGCACCAGCGGCTGAGACCCCTGCCTTGAGGCCTCCTTCTTCATTGCCTGTCTCCCTGCACCCCTTCTCCGGCTGAGTGTCCAGCTCCCACAGGTGCGATTCCTGCCCAAGCAGCGATCATGCAGGTGCACCGTGTTATCTATATATATAAAAGCTTAAGTGACCGTCCGACCATTCAACCGTCGACTGGTAGCTATGATGTGCAATGACCACCAGGGGGCAGATGCTCAATGCAGGAGATGCCGAGCGACAGCAACTTTGCAGAGTGCCCTCTCGTACTCTGGGACCCCTCAGGGGGTGTTGGACTGCCAGTTTCGGCCTGACCCCTGCAGGCCAGGCCGAGGGACCCCACCTGCTGGAGGGACCCCGCTCACTTTGCAGATGCCCTTTGAGCTCCGGTGCCACCCCCAGGTGCAGCCGGCCGGGGAGGGACCACGGGAGGTTGGCTCCAGGGTGTATCCAGTCCATCTCGCCCAGTCCTGCCCCACCAGCCACCTTCTAATTAATTTACTTTCAATGTGCATGAATCCGTGCACCGGGCCTCTAGTTTTGTTATAACCGAGTGGGATCCGGCTCTTTCTTTCCCAAAGCCCTTTCCAGCCATGAGCTCACCTCGTCCTCAGGATAATCCTGCTGAGGACGAAGTTCAGGCTTGGCATCCTCGTGCCAGGGAAGATGCTTTTGCTGCAAGGTGGGGTGGGGCCAGGGCCGGGGCCTTCCCCAGCAGCCAGCTGGAGGCTCTGTCTTGTGGGTGGAGTCTGGCCTGCGAGGGGCTCGACTGGGCTAGAGGGCGGGTTCAAGGTCAGAGTGGTCATTTCCCAGGTGTCACTTTATCAGCCAAAGACTTTACATGTGTCTGCGGGGTGGGGTGGGGGTGACATATTGTTAAATCAGATGCTGGCCAGCCTGGCGGGATTGTGCAAGCTCAGCTTCGAATGAGAACAGTTACATTTGCTGAGCATGCACTGACTCGTTTCATTCGTCTGACAACCTTTAGCGTAGATGCTATCCCTGGGCCCATTCTGTAGATGAAGAAACTGAGACTCCGAGAGGTAAAGCAGCTTCCCGAAGGTCATGCAGAGAGAGAAGGGAGACGTTGGAATTCACACCAGGCCATTCTGCTTCCGTGAGCCCTCTGAACCACCCGCCTCTGTGCTTTCCCGGGAGGAGCCCAGGCCGCACTCCGCCCCCACAGCCCCTTGACTCCAGGCGCCCAGGGAAATGGAGGAAGAGTGTGGGGTGCAAGGGTTGCTATGATGAATGGCTTTCCAAGGAGCACTCTGCACCCCAAGGAAGGGGAGGTGGCCCTGTCCAAATGGAGGCTTTGAAAGGAAACCTAACTTTAACTCAGTCACTGTCCGAGTCTCGCTTACTCTCCTGCGCCGAGCGGTGCGGTGCAGAGATGTTGTCAAGTTCACGGTGCCTCTCCGCACCGGAACCAGGTGCCCTGCGTGAGGCCCAGCCAGCTGCCGCTGAGACTCGGGCCCTGCTCCTGGTTTCAGTCCTACTCTGGTCCGTGGCTTTCCTTCCCAAGTGTGACAAAGGTCAGATTCTATGACTTCACAAGCCAAACCTCCAGAGTCCTGCCAGACAGACAGACCCCTCAGCACAGGAGACGGCCTCTCAGCCAAGCTCGTCTGCGATATTCGAACTCAGATCACTCAGGAATAGACTTGGAATGGCATTGAGACGCATCAACAGGCAGCTCACTGAGGGTCACTTTCCCTGTCGCTCACCTGGCCTCCTTCCTGTTCTTCAACTTGTTCTCACCTCGAGTGGCCTCTGCATATGCCATTCCCTCTGCCTGCAGTGCTCTCCCCAGTGTGTGTGTCTGGCTGCTCCTGAACCTCCAGGTCTCTGCTTCAGCGCCTCCTCCGGGAAGCCATCCTGACTGCTGTGAGGGAGAGGGCCACGGTGACCTTGGGCTTTGACCTCTGGGAGAGGCAGGCACCACCCCCTGAGAACAGTGGGAGCAACAGGGGACCTGAAGCAGCCACACACCACTCTGAGCTTAGCATCTTCTCTGCAAAGTGAAGAGAAAAGGGATATTTTGTGGATATTACGCCCTAGTTAACAAGCTGGGCTTACCAAGCAGCTGGCAGGCACTCAGGACCCAACGAATGCCCGTGCCTTTTCTTGCCCACCAGACCCAGTGAGCCTTCGACATTCCACAGTAATAATGGTGCCTGCGATGGACCCGCTGCTGACGGTTACCACAGTCCTCCCGGTGACCGCGCCAATCTTTAAACTCAGACCCCACCCTCTTCACCCAGGGGCTTGCTCTGACTCTTGGCCTGCGCTTCTCTCACCTCAGGGTCCAGATTTTGGCTACGTGACTCGAGGCCCCCAAACAGGGGGCGTTACCGACCTCGACTCCTTTGGGAACCTGGAAGTGAGCCCCCCGGTCACAGTTGGGAAGAAGAAGTACCCGCTGGGCAGGATTCTCATTGGGCACAGCATGTACCCCAGGTAAGGAGGGGAGGGCCGCCAGGGGTGGCCAGGACCCGGGGATGCCGGACAAAAGCAGAGGCCAGACAGGAAGCCTTTCCTACTTGCTCCCAACCCAAAAGGGCTCAACAAACTTTAGGGCATGTGAAAGGGATCACAGTGCAGGGCCAGGGTACGGGCTTGGGATCCCAACAGACCCAAGTTCGCCTTCCTGCACTACCATGTACACTCTTTAGGCCAGTGAATACTCACTAAGCACCTACTAGGTGCTTTCTGAGGCTAATCTCTGGTCCTATTTACCTTACTGACTCCCTGCCTCAGTTTCCCCAATTAAACTGGGATGAAAATTCCTCAATTCCTCAAATGTTAGAGGATATAATAAAAGCAGCCCGGGCTCCTGAATCCCTTTCCCGATGCCTTTGCCAAGCCCCCAGTACCGCGGGGACCTCCCGGCTGGCCCCTCCCCCTCCCCTAACGCTCCCTTCACCCTGTGTGGGCAGCGCCAAGAGCCAGGAGATGCACCAGGCCCTGCAGGACTTCCTCGCTGCCCAGCAGGTGCAGGCCCCTGTGAAACTCTACTCCGACTGGCTGTACGTGGGCCACGTGGACGAGTTCCTGAGCTTCGTTCCCGCGAACAAGGTGCAGTCTGAGGCCGCATGCTCCTTCCTGAGCCCCCAAACACAGCTCTGCACTCTGCCTTCCCTCCCCCCTAGGAGGGGGCATGGAGGAGGCGGCCAGCGGGTCCAAGCCTCACTCCCTGCACCCTCCGCAGAGCCCTCGTCCTTGGGAGCCCGTGGGCAAGGCTGACCTCTGACCCCAGTGTTTCTGCCTCCAGGGCTTCCGGCTGCTCCTGGCCAGCCCCAGGTCCTGCTACAAACTGTTCCAGGAGCAGCTGAAGGAGGGCCATGGGGAGGCTCTGCTGTTCGAGGGGGTCAAGAGTAAGTGGGCCATGCCTTGTTCTCCCATGTGGGCACCTTCCTCTGCCTTCACAGTGCCCCCCTATGGCCAGACGGAACCATTCAGGCATTGGCTAGCTTCTGAGCACCTACTGTGTGCCAAGCACTGTGCTAAGTGCTGGGGCTGCTGCGTGAACAGGGGCCTCGGGGTTCACAGTCCAGAGGAAATGAGTCAAGAAAACAGCTACCAAAAAAGGGAGCCGGGAGGAAAGGAACTTGGCCTGCCTTGGGGAGGAAGGAAGGAAGGAAGGAAAAAACCACCTCCACCAAAGGCCCTTTGCGGGGGGGGGGGGGGGGGCGCGGGGGGAGTGGTGGTGGTGGTCTTGAAGGAGATCAAGGAAGGCTTCCTGGAGGAGGCAAAGACCAAGCAAGAGCATGAGGGATGCACGTGAGTTGGCCAGGCATTTGGGGCGGTGGGGTGAGAGGAAGAGAGATATTCCAGACAGAGGGAATAGTGAATGCAAAGGCTCAGAGGCAGGGGACGCAACATGTGTTCACAGACCTGAAAAAAA